TCTGCAGGGCATAGCTTGAGGAATAAAAGAAGTAGAAAAACCAATAACCTTTCACATTAAGGTCAAGTGCTTGTTAGAGTGGTGTCTGGACAGTTTTCTTGCATCCCCTGCCTGACTTTCAGCTGCCTCATAACATTACAAACACCTGGATCACTCATTTCTCTCCCCAGTGTTCTTTGTGGTAATAGGCAGCTATATGCAACATGGTAGTTTCTTTATCCAGGAGCAATTGTTTCTTTTTTTTGACTAAAATAGTTAGTATTTCCTTACACATGTTATTCTGTTTTCTAAGGAAGAACTACTTACAAATTGCATCTCCTTAGGAAGAACATCAGTAACAATAATTTCACATGGCAATCTTGATGGGAAAAAAAAGCAATGCTTTGTGTCGCCCCTAGCAATGTTTTAGCCAATCACTAATTTCATTGTAAACAGCTGAACAAGGCAGAAAAGTATGACCTATGTCTAAGTTAACTTTGCACAGAGCTGCTAACAGTGGCACTGTGGCTATAAAATGATAACACAGCACATTCAGTTCTGTATTTAATTTACAATACAGAAATACAGAATTGTAAAATATTTCCTAATACAAGAAGGGGGACAGGATGGGTAAGAGTCTAATGTCTCTAATGTCCCTTTCCCAGAGTCAGTCCAAATAACACAGACGCCTGACATGTACTTAACTGGGGCGGGAGGGTGGAGTAAGGTTAGCCGGAGGAGTTTGGTCAGTCTATTGCAGCTGAAGACAAATGTTTTTTGCCATCTAGTCTTACAGTTCTTATTTAGGTGACCAGCTTGAATCCTCTCTGCCAGGCTTTTCATTCATTTAGGTATGATAAACAATGTAAATATGAAATGCCGTAAGGGAAGCCGTGTAAAGTGCTGAGGAAGAAGAAAGCAAGAAGGGAAACAAGGCAGAGGAAGAAGTTGGGAGAAAGGAATTAGGATCAATCATTTTTCTCTCTCTAAATAGTAAGCTATGACAAAGAGATTCAGGTCTTTTTCCTTGTGATGAATGGGAGAGCACTACTTAATTAACTATCTGCAATTGAAGCTTTAATTAAGGCTAGGGTCAGCTTTGCATATGTTACTGAGATGAGTCTAAATAATATGCATCCAAACTAGGGACTTCTCTGTCCCCCAAGCCAGATCAGCTCCAGCTTGTTTGTTGATGGAACAGGAAAGTCTTGGGCCTTAGTCTTACATATACCAGTTTTGCCTGTTTGCCTCGGTTCATGAGACAACTACTAACATTCCAGTACTACATGTACTTCAGGCTATCTCCACATGATGTTGCAGCAAAGAACAGAGTAGTAGCCAAGCCAAGATCAGCCAAGAAAATGAAATGATCTTTTAGTGATAGAATCAGAAAGCGTATTACGGAATAGACTGGTTTTACTCTAATAAGTAAATCAGCATCAGAATGAACATCTGCATCATCCTCTATGTCTGAGCACCCCACAGCAAAACCAGCAGTGCTGGCTTTTGTTGATTCTTAAAAAGCAAAACTGAAAATCCAGTCTTTGTAATCTTCAATTGAGCCATTTGGTAGAATGCAAATACAAAGAATGAGATGCCTTGCCATTGCCTATAATCTACATCTAAAGAGACTAAGCCCACAGAGATAAATTAAAGTCAGGGAGCAAACTGCCCGTCAGGAAAGCAGATGGCAAAATAAACAACAATGAAGAATAACAGCACTAAAGCTCTTACTGGCACTTAATACTAACATGGGTAGGACAAATCTCACCAGGGTAGAGAACGTTAATAGACTGTTTGTGACAAAATGAAATAAAATTATTTGAATTGACACTTATGTTCTCATAAATCTGACCCGCATATCCATATTATTACTATTTTGCCCTGGGGCTTAAGCCTTTGTTTGGGATGCTGGAAGTTGCTTTCATTAGGAGCAGGCTTATGACAGAGCTCAGTTGTTCCCAACACAGGCCTGTTTCTATAGAGAATCCTATCTACTGGCAGACAGGAGGATTCAGCCAACAGAGTACAGTCTCTTTGTTCACAGCTCCCAACTGCTTTCTGCCAACACTTTGCCCCAAAGGACTCTCTCCAAGGACTTCTTGTCAGAGTCTGCACTGCTGTGGCTGTCCAGGGTTTTGCTGTTGCATCCTTCTCAAGTTTTCTTAAAGGTAGTTTACTTTTTCTCTTTCCTCAATACAGTTCAACCAGTCAATGCTTTAGCCTTTCTGTTTTCTATACCCGTCCCCAAGAAAATCTGTTGGGCTATATTCAGCTAGCCAAATCCCACATTTCAGGTATTGCCGTCTGTTACCCTAGCTACCTAGTAATTTAATAAAGCTGAATGAATACCGCCGTGTATTCAAAAACATAGTTGCTGTATTGGCAGTCCTCATCGCAACAATGCTCCGGGTGTGTGTACCTTTCCTAATGAAAGCATATACTAGAGAAAATGTAAAAAATGTGCCCTGTTTTCAGCACGTACCAAACCAGGGCAGGAGGATCTTTGATCTAAGGTTCCAGTTACCCAGATGTCCTTTTGAACACTCAGCTGGCAGATGTCTTCAGATTTCTCTCCTCCTGTGATTTATATTCAGTTTTCTGGGACCTGGGCTTTTTGTTCAGTGAGAACCAGCTCTGTCCCTATGGGAACAGGCAAAAAGGGAAAAGAGGCTAATATTTACCTCTTTCCTGGTATTCTTCAGTCAACCAGTCACTCTCCATGTGGATATCTCTATGTGGAGAGCCAGAAGACCTGGTGTGTCCAGTGAGGAGATGGAGATAAGTCTCATTGCAGTGTCCACTCTTTGTGCATTTCTCCAGCTAAAGCTTTTCTTATTTTTGTTTTTCTAGTTTTAATTAGCCCTTTAAAAAAACCCATCAATTAAAATAGAAAAGCCTTCTCCAGATAGCTGTCCTGAAAAACAACTTCAGATCGAGATTGAACTCTGCCCCTTTGCCTCTGGCCCCGAGAACTTCCTGCTGCCACAAAGATAGTTGCAAAAATAGGCTCTACCAGCTGAGCTGATTCAAGAAGGCAGAAAGATCAATACCTCTTCAACCTCTGACATTTCTCTAAATAACTCTAGTGTCCTTTACTAGCATTGCAGTGACCTCTAGGGGCCTGTTGCAAAGTCCACTGGCTTCATTGACCCTTACTGACTTCACCTTGCCCTAGACTTCCAAAAAGTTTTCTAAGCCTGGAAGGTTTAACGAGTATTTAATAAGTATTTAATGTACAGACTAAAAAATCCAGTGCAACTGATGAGGAACAGAGTGGTGTAAAGCCTTCCAACTCCATGCTGCCAGCATCTACATAGTTGAAAATGAACTGTCTAGGACTATATGAAAACCCTTGTGTTAGCCTGTACAACAGTTACATCCATTCACCTGGAAACTAAATTTGGAATATTGCATTTCATAACCACTTGGAAAATGACAGCATCTCTTTAATGCTAAATCAGAGCAAAAAGTTTTCGCTTTTTAGTCATTTGAGCACAAAAGAAACCACTTACCCAGGAGTACTGTAGATCCATATCAGTTAAGGAGTATGTAAGATGCGGGTGATGAGAAGAACAAGTACAGTTTTCCCATTCTTCTATTTTTGAAATCAAGAAATCACAAGGACAGAGCTGGTTATCAGGAAATGGCTTCCAGTCACTCCACAAGTGAAATTCAGTTTCTGAATGGATCGAAATCGTTCCTAAATTGTTCAGTCTGGAAGTGTAAGATCGGCCTAGAGAAGCAGAAATAAAATCTGACCTAGTCTCAGTCTCCTCTCTTCTCCTCACGTTGTCTTTCCAGATTTTCTTTTCCTGAGGCTTTGTCAGTTTCATGCAAGAAGTTAGTGCTTCCTCATCCTCTTCAGAGAGATAAGCATCTTCCAATGTATCTTAAAAAATGCAAATACTTCTGTTATATTATGGTGCAATTCCTACAAAAAAAGCTGATTTTTTGTTCTTAAATGTAGTCTATTGCATTCTAAATAACGAAATGGCCAAGGACTTCATGAAAAACAAACAATAATCATAATTAGGGAGATGGAAAGAACCTTGTTTTGGGTCAGATACCTGAGCCGAAAGCCAGATTTATTCTCCCTCTGGTAAATTTGTGTTATTCCTTCAAAAGCCTGGAAGACTGCATTGGTTCTGCAATGAACATAAAATTTTGCTGCGTAAATGTCATGCTCCTGCAATATTTGCAGAGAGATTGAGTTTGGTTTAAATACTGGAAAAGTTTAGGAAGTTTTTCTGAATAATTCCTCCCTCTTCCCAGTCTCTATGTGGAAGTTTTAAAGTAGTTACTGAACTCTGAGTTTCCTCATGTTTCAACTCCAACAATGATTTGGCTGGAGTAGCAGTTCATTAGGCAATCTAAACTCATTTTGTGGGTATTAGTTTAAAAATAATCATATACAGAAATACATTGTACATCAAACGCATGCACTGCTGAATTAATGTTGGCAAAATGAGTTCAGATGAAGAACCGCTGCACGGTCAGATCAGTGATCTACCGGAGATTCATGAAAATAACCTGAGTTCAGCATCAGTTAAAAATACCTGTGTCTTATCGCCTGAGGCAATCAGGTATGATGAAAGGCTGACTTGCTTATCATACCATAGACCTTCTTGCACTCCCAGCTGCTGCTGATGCAAGGATTAATACTGAATGTTATCTTTGCATTTGTGAGTTTTGCCTTCCTCATATGCAACGTGATAAAAAACTGGGAATCACTCTAAAAACAAATTGTCTCCAGAAAGTAGGCCCCACTGTTATACAATTCGATTTAGCTAAATTTCCCACTTGCAAGATATACTGTTACAAAATTCAAGCTAGCGTGACAGGAAACAGCTTTTCACACTATGAGGAGGCCAGCACTAAAGTAGTAAGTATCACAATAACATCTCCGTTGGGGTTTGGAGCTTGGAGGTGGTGAATGACAGACCAGGACAGGATTGTTTATAGTTATGTTCAATACAGTGCCGTTTGTCAAATGTTAGAAAGAATGCTAATATGGTGCTTTACTTACTGAGGGGGATCAAAACATGTTTGACATCCTCCAGACTATGTGTACTGGTTTTTTTGGTTCGAACCAGTTTCTGCAATCGTTTTAATGTTCCCGTGGACTCTGCCTTATCATCTGGTTCTGTACCCTGGCGAAAAACAAAGATATGAAAAGTAAGTATTAAAAACGCACATATAAAAAACAAGGGTAACATGCTGCTTATTTTGAGTAGCAGAAAAGCTCAGCATCAAAGACAAGCAGTTTGGATTAGTGATTGAGAGATGATGAGAATCAATCATCTCTATAATTCTTTAAAAGTTAGGGACTTGCTTGTTTGTGACCAAGAGATATGAAAAAGGAAAAAGGCAAGTCATAAGAAGCATCAGATTTAGATCAGTGTTTGCCTTGTGGCTTGCAGATTACTTTTCTTTAATACCTCAATATTACTTACTTATTACTTAATGCCAGACTTAATCCCCGCCCAAACCAGTTAAATACATGCATCCATCACATTAATCAGGAGCATTTTAAGTATGCACATAAGTCCCAGATGCAGTGAGCTATATGGGGCTATGTTCTGAAACAGTGATGCTTTCCTTAAATCAAGGCTGGATTTTCTTTCCTAGATTGAATGATGGTAGGGTGAATGATAATTCAAACTTGTTACTATACATTCCAGCAATATCCTAATAGAGAAACTCAAGGCATGGGTTTTGTCTCCTAGAGCTAAGAACTTCATGAATATGCAGCCATCTCACACACATTGAATTACATCAAACCAGTGGTTATATTGCAAACAAGTCCAAGAATTCTTGAGTTCTCTTCCAATCTGACTCTGAGTTTTCCTGTGAACATCAGAGAAATATTTCACACTTCAACAGCAAAGATGCTATCTCCACAGTCATGTGCTGTTTTTTATAGAGGATAACTGATTTTCATTGAAAAACAACAAAAGCAAATATCTGAAATGAGTAATACTGTCATTCACTCTGTTCGATGATGGCTGCTTTTTGCCACAGTACTGTGTGGCTTCTACGGATGTTTACCTGTTTACACTAATAAAGAATTTGGCCTATTGTGGTAATGCATCCCAGGTAATACCAAAAGCGATTAAGTGATAGTGAGGGTAGAAGTGCAGAGACCTTCATTGCACTTTCCCCAACAATTAGCTCACACATCACAGATCTTCCCTGCTTCCTGAAATGCATAATCCTAGAAGACAAAGTCATCAGGGAGCTTTGCCAGCACAGCCCAGCGTACGCTGAGTAGGTTACTTAGGGCTTGATCTGAAGAGATTCTGAACTCCTCAGCTTTCAGATAGGTTAAAGGCTTTTCACAAAGTCTTAGCGTAAAACACTTCTGAAGCCCTCGCATTCATGTACGACAAGTTACATTCATCCCAGTAGCAATGATAAGGGAGAGGGGGTATGCTAAAGGTTCAGATATTTTTCTATAAAGATATCTGTAAGCAGTTCTGTAAGCAGAAATAGAGGTCCAAGAGAAAGGCAAAGGGCATTTTTATGTGTATTTAGTTAGCTTTATGTTGCTAGACAACTTGCAGTAGTTGTTGAAACTGTAATAAGTGAAGCAGAGTTATAGTGAAAGCTAAGGAAGAACAGGTGAGATGTCTCCCTGCATAATCAGATGTTTGATTTCAAATCTTGTAAGGATTTGTAACAAGGTGTTTGCACAACCAAAACCTCTTGGTCCAGCTATAAATCAGTCTGCAGAGCTAACAGCCTATAGAATTTGGTGTGCCTTCCTCATGTAAGAGCAACGGACCGTTTATACTCAGTTAAATTTTGGACTTTTTGGTAACAGACGATTGTCTGCATCCTTAAACGTAGCTCTTGCATAACAAACCCACATGGAGTATATAGGTAATGGGCAGGGTAAAAGAGTGAAAAGAAGATAGCAGAATAAAGATTACAAGCTAGAAAGGATCCTGAGGTGTAAGAGAATATGACAAATTGTGTTGAACCAGGCATGACCTAGTGAAATAAACATATACATATATATCCATATCTGTATAATTACATACAAAAAAAAATGAAGTTATCTTTCAGGCTCAGTTCTGATGAAATGTTCTTAGCTTTGCAAAATCTTGTTTTGATCCATGTATCTCTAGATACACCATTACTGGCCTCCTTCCTGGCTGATATAAATTAGCTTTATTCCATTGATTTTGATGGAGTTATTCTGGATTCCTTCCTTAGCTAAAGATAGACCTTAGAAATCCTCATGATAAATTCAGTGAGTGATCCAGAAGCTCACAGAGTGTGTAGCGCTTGAGTTTACACTCTCCTGTTTTCAGTGGCATGTTACGTTCCTTTAAGAAGAGCAGATGGGCTATAACCCCTCAAGGGGGGCTGCTGAGCCTGCTCTCCTTAGGTGCTGCGGGCACTAAAAGCAGACAACAGAGTCTCAGAAGACAGCTGGCAGCCTGCAACTCAGCAGAGGGACAGTGACTGCAGTAAGGAGCGGTGAGCACCAGCAGTGCTAGGAGAGAAGACTTTACCAGGGGTCAGAAAAGACAGTCCGCAGACTCTCCTGCAAACAAGGACTCTCCTACAGTGAAGCAGCGGGAAGTGGGAGAATTGTATGTAAATACCTTTATATGTCTCCGCTGTCCTTCATAACTTACAGTAACGTTAGTATTTCAGTTTCTATCAGGAGCGTGTATTTGAAGTAAATCTCACGGTCATCCCCATACAGTGCAACTTGGTTCCAAAATGCCACAAACTGGATTCCTTTCAGAAGAAATTAAGATGAAGGATGCTCTCCAGAAGTCAACTGATGATCAACTGATGAGCTCCAGCTGCTAACATGTGGTCAGTACAGAGGACCTGAACACAGGTAGACCTCCCATAATGCACCAAGCATTCTGCTGTGCAGAACCTCACATATTATTCTGCACTAGTTACTAGTGCAGACAAAAATAGGTGCTTTCAGTTTTTGTCATTTGAAGAGTTAGTTGTTTTGATTTATAGACCAATGAGACCTAGCTTTTTTGAGTTTAAAACCCTTTCATTCTTCTTGAGAGCTTACCGCAGGCTAAGGTCTAAGCAGATCCACCTTAAAGCTCTGGTCAGCTTAGGGTCCTTTCACAGCTTGTAGCTGACTGCTCAACATCAACGGTGGGCCAAATCCAAACATCTGTAAATTAGGCATGTTCTGATTGAGATTTCAAAGCCCCTTCTCCCTGCCTCTAAACTGAGGACAGTATGAGTGCAGTTTTGGCTTATACGAAAGACAGAAACCGAGGTGTAATTTTTTTCAGTCTCCCATAGTGATATATCATTGCAAAACGAATCACAGTGGTTGAGAAATGCTAACCTTGCTCTGTTAGATGAGAACTCTTGTAGCAATAATCATTTGTTCACTTATAAGTAACTACAAAAAGGCAACATGAGGATTTTGAGTTATGATCTGCACTTCCATCATGGAGATATCAAGATGAAACAGAAGATAATCTATTCAGATAATTTTATTAATGGTAAACTCTAATCCTCTTTGCTTTAAAAGCACTCATTGGGGAGAATCTATTGTTAGTTAGATATCATATGTGCCTAAATAATAAATACAGTAACTATCTTTTATGGAGGAAAAAGCACAGGTAATGTCAATTAGTGATGGGACAGCTTTTAAATTTACAGCATTTTATTTTGGTTTACCTAGTATTCAAATCCAGAAGTTTAGCTGCATATCCAGACAAAGAGAAAACTTTCTTTGGTGTAGAAATCAGATAGAATATCAGGAGAACTGACCATTCTGGTCTCACAGTATTGTTGTATTGTCCTTGCAACCCTCAGCCATAACTACTGAAAGCATGCATAAAAGTGAGAAGAACTGTTAGATGTTATGCTCTAGTTTCAGGCAATTTTCTGCTTGCTGCTTCTGTTACCTGTAAGCTAATACTTCTAGTTGCCACTGTCCAGAACACGACAGAAGGAAGTGCAGTACACTTGTGTATGAGGTACACATAGAAGGTGCATAGTGCTACTGTTTTGAATAGCAATGCACACTAATTTGGAGTATGCTACTGTACAGAACCTTTCCTCTCTGTGGAACAGGAATGATACTGAACAAGGAGCACTGTAGAAATACTGAAAACCAGTGCACAGAGAAGTATGTCTCCAGTCATACAATCGTTAATTTTAAGCACGTTTAAAGACTTTTCTACCTCCATGTTCCAGGGAATGAGCATTTGCTCACTTGAACATTGCAGGTATACTTCTGTTTCACAGAGCTATCAATGACCAAAGAATTCCTTCACAAACAGGAGTATTCTTTGTTTCCCTGCTTAAGAGGTTATAGTCATGCAAAACGGTGACACACAACAAATAAAAAAGATCTGTGTAAGAAAATAAATCACAGGCTGTCCATTAGTTGCAAATAATTTGCATGAAGAGTTTGAATACTTATGGGCAAAAAGATATGCATTTAAGAAAAGCGCTTACAAAAATGTATGAACAGAAAAAAGAGAGTTAAATCATGTCTGATGAACTGTTTCCAGTTTATCCCAAGATAGTCCAAATACCTTAGAAGTCTTTGCTCACTGAGATAGTGTGAAGATTAATCTGGTGACAGAAAGCTAAAAATTTGAAAACTATGTAAAACTCTGTTAGCCAGATTCCAGCAATCTCACTCTTGTCGCGCACTCCCTTTCCTGGGTGTAGCTGCATTAATTTCAATAGAAGTACTTGCACAGCATGCCACTTCTCAGCATGAAGAATTTACTCATGGTAGGGTCTAATCTCTGTGATTTTCCCTGAACAGGTTTGCCTGTCCCAAAGAACTGCAATGATTTTATCATGATCAGCTATGGAGTTAAGTTCAGAGTACCATATACATTGAGAAGACAAAAATGACTGTACGCTTACTGTGTCTATAGTGCTATTACAATTGTGCCATAGAAATACTTAGAAAGTTTCAGTAATATTCCTGTACACTGTGAATATATTAAAATAGTATAGGATAGAGAACTTTCTGCTCTGTTTATACAGAGAATTAGTTCTGGAAAAAATGCACCAAATTTGGATAAATCTTATGTTAAAAATGTCACTAAAAGCACAGTCAACCAGTATGTAGACAAGTATACACTTTTGGGAAAGTAACATATAGTAAAGGAAATACTATTAAAACAGTGTGTTCTTCCAGGCTGCTAGCCACTGATGAAGAAAATGAAATTGGCAACTTACCATTTCACCACTACCAGCCACACTTGGATTTTGAACTCGTGGTGGAATCCACTGCTCATAATTTATCACCTAGATGTCACGAAAAGTAAGCAAAACCCAGTATAAACATGATGAATAAATAGAATTAGTATTACATCATTGAATACAGTTTGAGAGCTCAACAATCTTTCAGCACAGAACTATGTGCATACAAAAGCAATGGCTGACATATACTAGCTGACACCCATTGATATATCAGAAATCAGTTTCATGTCAAGCTGGGTACGTTTCTTCGGTTGTATGGGACTCAGTCACACCCTGAAGGCATCACAGCATATATGGTGCAGTGACAGAATCATATATTACATTGTGGGATGCTTGGGTCTCATCCTAGATCTCGAAAGACAGAGGTTTACCTCTCTCTGCAAGTAGGAAAGCCACAGAAGTCTCTCCTTAGCAGTGACTGCCCAGCTGAGGAGCAAGAGTCACTAATGGATTGCTAAAGAGGCTCTTGTTCAGTTTGTCTCCTTTTGCTTGGGCTGTTGAGCTCCTAGGGTGTAACTTTGAACTGGATTGACAACGTAGAGAAAATGGGAGGATCCTGAGAACTAAGCAAAGACAAGACTATGTACTCTTTCATCATTTGCCCATAATCCGTTTCTTGATCACAATGTCCTCTTGGTAGGAACACCAGGAGAATACACTTTCCCTGGGGCACTGATGCAGTCCCTGGTGGGCAAGCCTGACGGTGCTTATAGCTTATCAGTGAAAGTAATGAACATCAGCCTTTTTTCTTCATGAATATGAATGACACATTGAAGGCTGAATGCAACCTAAGAATTTACGTGAGAAATGAGGCATGAAACATTTTTGAAAATGTATTAGCCCAAAGACTGTATTACTTCATATTTTATGTCCTTCCCAATATGCTACAAAAGGTTTGAGCAATCAAGTGAGCCCTGCTAGAGATGAACAAACAAGAACAAGGATATGAAAATAAGTGCAGAAGGCAAAGCTATTTTTTATGATAGCATATAATCATTACAGTTTGCTTATGCTGTGTCCCTCAAACAATACTTCCGTTCCAGTGCCATACTTCCAGTCCATGCCCCTGTTTTCAAGTACTTATATGCTGAATTGAATTAAATGAGCATCTGGTTAGGAAATGGAGGGTATTAAAGTTTTCTTGAAGCTTCAGAGAAGCTTATTTGCTTATTTCTATTTTGAGAGAGAAAAGAACTAAAATTTTCATTTATTCTATTGACTTTTTCATAGAGATTTGGCTCTTCCATGTCTCAGAAGCACAGAACAGTTGAGGTTGAAAAGCACCTTTGGAGGTCGTCTAGTCCAACCCCCCTACTCAGAGCATGGCCAGCTCAGGGTTTTGAGCATCACCAAGGATGGAGACTCCATAACCTCTCTGGGCAACCTGTTCCAGACTTTGACCACCATCACAGTGTGTTTCATATGTGACCATTGCCTCTCAGCCTGTCACTGGGCACCACTCAGAAGAGTCTGGCTCTGTCTCCTTCACCCTCCCCATCAAGTATTTGCATACACTGAAAAGATCCTCCTGAGCCTTCTGTGCTTGAGGCTGAGCGGTCTCAGCTCTCTCAGCCTCTCCTCATATCAGAGATGCTCCAGTCTCTTAATCACCTTCAAGGTCCTTTGTGGACTCACTCCAGTATGTCCAGGTCTCTCTTGTACTGGGGACCTCACAACTAGACCTGCGCTCCAGATCTGGCCTCACCAGGGCTGAGGAGAAGGGAAGGATCACCTTCTTCAATCTGCTGTCAATGCAGCACAGGACACTGTTGGCCTCTTTAGCTGCAAGGTGCATTGCTTGCTCATAGTCAGCGTGTTGTCCACCAGGACTGCCAGAGCCTTTTCTGAAAACCTGCTTTCTAGCTGCTTGGCCCCCCGCCGCCGGTACTGGTTCATAGGGTTATTCCTCCCCGGGTGCAGGACTTAGTACTTCCCTTTGTTGAACTTCATGAGGTTCCTTTTGGCCCATTTCTCCACCCTGTCAAGGTCCCTCTGAGTGGCAGCAGTGGCATCTAGTCTGTCAACCACTCCTCCCTGTTACTCAGAGTGAACTCTGACCCATCATCCATCTCGTTAAGGTTAAATAGTATTGACCTTTGGATTGAGCCCCGGGGTGAACCACTGGTGACTGGACTCCAGCTGGACTTCGTACTGCTGATCACAACCTTCTGGGCCCCAACACCTCAACCAGTTTTCTATCCACCTCTCTATCCACTATCTCAGCTGTACATCACCAATTTGATTACGAGGATGTTATGGGAGACTGTGTCAAAAGCCTTGCTAAAGGCAAAATAATCAATATCCACTCTTCTCCTCTGCTCCACTGAGCTAGTCATTTCATTGTAGAAGGCTATGAGGTTGGTTAGGCAAGATTTTGCCTTCATAAATCCATCCTGACTACTTCCAATCACATTCTTGTCCTTCATATATTTGGAAATAGTTTCCAGGAGGGTTTACTCCATCACCTACCCAGGGGTAAAGGTGAAGCTGGCCAACCTGTTGTTCCCATGGCCCTTCTTGAAGATAGGGATGACATTTGCTTTATTCCAGTCCTCAAGAACCTCCCTGATTGCCGTGATCTTTCAAAGATAATTAACAGTGGCCTCACAAAAACATCATCCAACTCTCTCAGCACTCATGCGTGCATCCCATCAGGTCCCATGGACTTGTATATGCCCAGGTTGTTTAAATATCCTCTAACCTGATCCTCCTCCACCAAGGATAAGCCTTCCTTGCTCCAGACTTTCCAACAGGTTTCAGGAGCCTGGGACTCCTGAGGGCAAATCTCACCAGTAAAGACTAAGGTAAAGAAGACATTGAGCACCTTGGCCTTTTCCATGTCCTTTGTCACTAGGTCCCCTGCCCCATTCAGCCACGGGTCCACATTTTCCCTAGCTTTCCTTTTGCTGCTGATGTACTTGTGGAAGTCCTTCTTGTTGCCCCTCACGTCCCTCACCAGGTTCAATGCCAGGTGAGTTTTGGCTTTCCTAAACCCATCCTTGTGCTCTCAGACAATGTCTCTATATTCCTTCTGGCCCAGCGGTCCCTGCTTTCACCTCTTGTATGCTTTTTTTAATGTTTGAATTCCATCAGGAACTCCTTGTTTATCCATGTGGGACTCCTGCCACCTTTGCTTGATTTCTTGCATGTAGGGATGGACTGAATTCTGGAGTTCAGTGATCTTTGAAAAATTAACCACCTCTCCTGCACCCCCTTCTCTCCAGGGCTGTATCCCATGGGATCCTTCCAAGCAGATCCCCAAACAGGTCAAAGTCTGCTCTTCTGAAGTCCAGGGCTGTGATCCTGTTTTTTATCTTGTTCTCTTCTCTCAGGCTCCTGACTGCCACCATCTCATGGTCAATACAGCGTAGGCTGCCCCTGACATTAACATCCCTCAACAGTCCTTCCTTATCTGTAAGCATCAGGCCCAGTGAAGCATCTCCCCTCACTGGCTCCTTGTTCATCTGTGTCAGGAAGTTGTCATTAATGCACTCCCAAAACCTCTCGGGTTGCTTGTGCTCTGCTGTGTTGTCCATCCAGCAGATATCAGGGTGGTTTCGTATAGGGACCAGGTCCTGCAAATGTGAGGCTTCTTCCAATTGTCTGAAGAAGGCCTCATCTACCACTTCTTCCTGAACAAGTGGTCTGTAGCAGACACCCACCACAATCTCCCATGTTGGTCTGCTCACCATTCCTGACCCAGGACCTCTCAGATGGCTCATCATCTGTCCCCAGGCAGAGCTCCATGCATTCCCACTGCTATCTTACATGAGGAGCAACTTCCTCCCTTGCCTTCCCGGCCTGTCCTTCCTAAAGAGCCTGTATTCAACCATGGCTACACTCCAGTCATGTGAGCTATACCACCATGTCCCTGTGATCCCCATGAGATTGTAGCTCTGCAGTGGAGACCTCTATTTCCTCCTCTTTGTTCCCCATGTTGTGTGCATTAGTGTACAAGTGGTTTACAGGGGCATCCAGTCATGCTGATTTCGCAGAAAAGGTATGAAAGCTTCCTCCATCATGCTGACCTATAGGCACTTCCTTATCTCTGTGCATAATGCAGTAAAGCAAGTGAAAATAATCAGAATATTTTATAAGCTTAAAAAGCCATTTTATCAGTGTTACCTTGATGATGATGAAAGCCAGAGACAATAATTGCCAAAACCCAAAATAATGTCATAAAAAGATGGCTGTCTAAAAAGAAAGCTGTAAGAATTAGGCTCAATTGGTCCTAAATCGATACCAAAGCTCAGAGGTATCAAAGTCTCTACAGATTCTTAGTGATGTGGCCCAAAAAGTGTCTTTGAAAAATTAGAAAAGTCAAAAATAGAACTTTGCTTTTAAAGTTGGGCCAACAGTTATTGGCAAAATGCTTTAAGAGGTTTTAAAGAAAGCCCTTCACTACCCTTCAATAGTGAGACTTTAGTAAGTATTCCTTACTATATATATACTATATACTATACACTATACTATATACTATACTATACTACATACTATACTATATACTATAATATGGTAAGTATTCCTTACTATAACTGCTTCCTTTTCCCCCCCTTGTTCTGTCCTGCCTAGGAAGGGCCACCAGAACCTTGACCAAGAGTCATCCCAAAGGCTGCTGTGGCAAAATGGGGCAGACTGAGAGATCACTTAAATTAAGGGAAGTACAAGGAACGGGGGAAAATCATGGAACACAGGCAAATTCCTCCTTCACTGCTGTGGGAAATCAGGGAAAAATGTGACTTCTTGATACTTAGCAGGAAAGGAAGAGAAGAGAGAAAGAGAATGAGAGGCAGAAGAGGAAAGGGGCCTTTCCAACCTACTTATTGGGGGCAGAGAAAGGAAGCAATAATGGGAATAAATTAAAAAAATGAAGATTAATAAAACCCTGAAGGAAAGCAGGAGAAGCCAGCAACATACCAGTTTTGCAGCCACCAGTTTCCCGTATTGTTGTCTGTTCCCAAAGCACAGATGCTTTGACATGTCTGCTCTTTAATGCCAGATTGCATTTGTGGCCAACACTGGAGCTGAGCACAGCCTAAAGCCTAAAGCCTGGACCTACACAGCTCTGTCTCATCTCAGATGCCTTCAGTGTGGTGTGTACAATTTTTCTTGCTTTTAACCTTGACATCCAAAAGGCTTTCTGATATTGTACAGAAAGAGTGTAGGAAGCTCAGCTTTGTTCCTTTTATAAAGTTTAATATTCACCTTGAATATAACATACTTCTATAAAGCCATATTTATCAGACTTATGGCTTTTAAATAATTTATTCTATTAATTACTCATTTAGGCACCCCCTCACACACACACATAGGTGCAGGTTATGCACATTTAGTCACACTCCTAAACTGGCTAAATTGCTGTATCTTGTCACCAAATCAGTAGAGCTAAGCTGATTTGCAGCAGATAAGAGTTGGCCCTTTAAGTAACATATTACCAGGGCAAATGCTGGACTGAAAGTGAAAAGAAAAGAAAATGCCAAACACTCGAGTTCATGAGCTACAACTCTCTCCTCTGCCTCTCTGTCTCCCTCAGCTCACCAGCTGATGGGATCTTAAATACTTTGATATTATTATTGTTATGCAAACACAAGGGTCAGAATTCCTTAATTGCTCATACTAGTGGGCTAATTAATGTAGTCTTATGAAAAGGAGTATCAAGAGTCACAGTATATGTTTATATATATTCAGAGAGCATTAGGAACCACAGGCCAACATGGATCATGCAAGACTGATCTAAACACAGATCTCACTAGATAAAATTCCAGCATATTAATTGTATTTGCTCAAGAAAATAAAAAGGTTTCTGATCCACATGGTTTGCATAATGAAAATGGGGTACACCGAGGTAGTCACCAGAGTCTTCTTTTAAACTTAGCTTCTCGAATACATAGGCATGCTGAGCGTGAAGTCAAGCCTTGGCAAATTCACACTGAATGGAAACAAGAACTATGCTATATATTTGAATGGCATTTTAGATTATGAAGAGAAGAGTAGTTCTTTCACCTGGCATGTGGTTTCTTCTATCTTTTTTCCTCGCACCAAATGTATCTCATCTCCAGTAATATTATCTTCCGTGAATTCTGACAAAAAGAAAAAAGAAAATATGCTTTAAAATGTCCCATTTTAAGTTTTTCTGGGGAGTATCATTTGAATTTCACTCCATGCTTTGACGTGGCTTTTTGACTCTGAATTTAATTTTACATCATTTAAACATGCATTTATCTCAAACTGCTTTGAACAAAGACTGCAAAGCAAATTGGAAAACTGGCTTGTATAAATAAAACACTCATTTTTACTTCTTCGTCTGCACTTGGTCCTCAATTTACTGTTCCAGAATCCCCGCTAAGCACTTCCTCTTGCTCTGCTATTTCACAGTGGAAGAATGTGGAATGTTTACACAAAGAAGGTGGCCCTGAGCAAAAATTTTCCTTGTGATTGATATCTGCTTAACTTCAGAATATAAACTGTTTTCAGAGGATGACCTTCCTCCTACTTCTTCCAAAAAATTAATGTTTTGAATGGGAAGAATATTAGCCTTCTTTAGAACAATGAAGAATAATAGGTTAAGTGACTCTTTGAAAAGTCTACTTTTTAGCAGGTCTACTTTGAAAGATCTACTCTTACACCAATGTTTCAGTCAAGACAAACCTTCCACCACCACACTACTGAAGAAAGGCTCTAGAGATTAGATTCCATCAACACAGATATCAGAGGCATTCAGTTATCGGACAGAAAAAAAGAAAAATGATCTGGTAATCACAGCAAGAAGTGCCACCCTGTTTTCTCACAGTTGATAGGACCTAGTAGGATTTTTTTTTTCTCATGAATCCTAATTTGGAATTCTTATTGCTGCTGAGGAATACTTTGCAACATCAGTAATTCTCCTGTTTTCAAAAGGAGAACAAACGTAATGTATGCATTCACAAAAGTTAACTGTAGTCAGGTGAGACTGGTTACACTATTTTCTCTACAATCAACAGAAAAAGAAAGATACATTCAGTTAATTTAGTCAATTTAGTCAAAGTGTGACTAACAGAGATTCCTGAAGCTGTCACATTAAGACAAGTGTTTGAATGTGACCATGAAAATTTGTTCAAAGAGCTAAATAGAGCCCACTCCCAGAAATGTCTACGTTCATATTGGAATTAAATGAGACCGCAATGTGTGTAAAGCTATTTCAAAAAACACCCCATACTCACAGCAGTGAAACAGGTAAAGGGCCACTGTACAGGCAAGCTAGCACCTATGTTTTTTAAATGCTATTTTTAAAGCAAATTCTGAATCAAGAGACATTCTCAGGATTGTTATTTTTCTTAAAATCTTTTGCAAAAAAAATTGTAACACCATAACAAATAATATTCCCTGTAATTTTGCAAGGCCTATTGTAATGCTAGGTGAAAAGTCACGAGTTAAAATGTGATCATCAGACACACAAAGGAGCAACACTTGCTTCACATTCTAGTTCTGCCTTTAAAATTTAGGCTGTGTAGAAAGCATCATCAAACAGTTTCCTTTAATTGCCACGTGCGTCAACAGGAAGAAGAAAAATGGGTCACAGAAAATGTTATCTCACAAGTTTGCCATTAGAGACTTCTGCAAGAGCTTATACATGTCTATAGGACAGTGTCTTTCTCCTACAGACCTGATAGTTATAGTAACATGAACAGCTTTTCCAAATAGCACGTTAGATTCCAAAATCTAACACAAGTGACCAGATTTTAGGATGTTGCAAGCATCACAAATCTCCTCAAAGTCCTTGAGGGCTATGCATCTGATAATCCTGCTGTTAGACTAAATACAGAGCTAGATGGACTTCTAAAAGTGATATAACTGAAGCTGAGCAGTACTTACGCATTGCCAGATTAATGTAACTGGACTGTTTTGGATCCTGAAGCTAACCTGCTTCAATCTCCTGCAGGCGTCTCCGCACACTGCAGCACTGTGCTCTGTAGCCTTACTCTAAAAGTTAAGTCTTGCAGTGTTCAGTGCTGTGGCTCACAAGTCCTCTTATGATCTAGGCCAAAATGCTATTATTTGGTATCTGCTCACAGTTGAATCATAAAGAACCATGGGGCAAAATATAATGACCTTAGCCCAAAAGAGCTGATACGGTGACACTGCTTTTAATATAATTTTGTACAAAAACAAATAAGCAGCTGCAAGCTGATAAAAATAAACCTTAGTGGCCAGTGCACCTCCCCCACCCCAGGCACCCAAGATCTCTTTTGCTACCCCTGACATACATTAGCAGTACTCTCAGATCTTGCTTGTGCACCCTGGCTGAGCTCTCCAATCCATGGATACGATCAATAGGGTATTTGGGCAAAACAACATCCAGAAGATATGAGTGTGAGCTGTAAATTTCTTTTCTTCCTGGTTTAGAAATGGGTTGCACTCACTTTACTGTGGAGTAAAGATGGAGAAAAGGAAAATTATGCTTCCTAACTCCGAGAGATGCCAGTTCTCTGTTTGTCTCATTAATAGTCTTTCACGGAAGCCCAATGACTGTGACTTGCACGGTTAACTTTTTCAACAATGTTACTTTTAGAAGTTGCTGGTAAATCTGGTACTGAAGATTCGTTTTGGGACTGTGAGCCGAGACTGGTATCCCCACTGTTCTGTCTGTGGTATATATGTGTTTTTGCTGCCTTGTCAGTCTGAAAAGCTGATTTTTGTAGAGGTTATACAAACAGCTGCATTAGGACCTAATCCAAAGCCTGCTGAAGTCAGTGGATATCTTTTCATTGACTTCAGCAAGATTTGGATCAGGTCTGTGAATACAGATCTGAAGTAAGCAGAGGAGCCTGTGCCGGCCACCATGCATGGCTGATTACTTCCAATAGGAATTCATATTATGTAACAGACTTGCAGACCTTGAAGGATTATCGCTGTTAGGAGAAAGGTTTGATCAATAGTGACAAATTATCTTGATCAATAGTGATACACTGTAAATCTCCTTGTAATGGTTTTCACCACTGTGTGAAGGGGACTTCCCTTGAAATAATTTTACTGCAGTGGGGGAAAGAGATTTTTATTTAGCTGCCAGCCTTGCTTCCTATTCCCTCTGGGCCCCTGCCCTTCAATTACAACACTTGTCAGCTTTTAAAATGTGCACTACTTCTTTTGCATGCTTTGGATATTTAAAAGGGTAAAAAAAAAAGTCTCCCGTAGAAAAGACACTGGAGGAAGGTCAAAAAGTTCTGTTCTCTGATTCAGCCTTTTTCCACGTCCAAACTGACAAGCTTTGAAGTAGTTTGAAGAATCATTCTGAAATGCTTTTCGGCTTGTTAAAAATACGACTTGTCTGGAGATAAATGACTAATTTTTTTTCACCTATCATTACAACCTTTTCCTTTGCAAGCCAATGAGACCCACTGAAGGCCCTTTTTTCCCTCATCAGTTCATTGCAGGAGTAGAGTTCCTCTAAATTTTCCTCTAACCTCTTCTTTCTGATTCAGGTTCCTAAAAGCCCAATTCGCCCATACATTGGAGGACTATCAAAAGCTGGGTTGGCTGCATGCACACATTATCATATACTCTAGTGTAAAACCTTGAGGTCAAATCACAAGACTGCTGCAGCCAATAAAGACTTCTCCCTCCCCCACTGATCTCAGGGCACTCTGGATATGACCACTTTCAGAGCTGTTTTCCAGTCATGTAAGAGTTTATCTTCAAGTGATGAAGCAAATGAAATCTAGAGGAAAACCTGATGCTCTGTCCTCTGCTTACTTTGGTAAAACCAGGTGACAATTGAATCTCCAAACAGTGAATGATTTCTAGACCACTTGTACAGGAGATATTAAAAGTAAAGGCAGTGGTCATCTTCCTTCTGTCTAATGCTCTGTTGACTTAAGGAGAGAACAAAGGCGCAGCCACTCTAATCTCACATCTCTTTGTTTCTGTTTCTGCTGATACATGCGCTGAACTTTGGCTGCTTTGGTCTGACAAGGTAATTATAATGTATCTACCTTGACCTTTAAAAACATAAATACAAACTTCATTCCTGGGAGCAATGTTAAGTAGATTTTCAAAGCGTTTTGATTTTCAAAAGTCCAATTTATGTTTAAACATTTAGGTTGATTGCTCACTTCTTATTTCTCATAGATATTTTGATGAATTTGTACAGGTCAGCCCTTAAACAGTGCCAGTGGCAACTGCCCATATACTAGCTGCAAAGGTTGTTTCAATATGGTTGGTCAAAATGGGCTTTAGAAAGAAAATTGGAAAAAATAGTTGCAGGAAAAATCTTGCCAAATCTCTTTTGCACCTACCATAATATCTTCTACTTTGAAACAAGATTTTTTGTTCCAGGAAAAGGTACATTTAGTTCCCTGTTAGATACATAGGTTAGGATTCCTTCTACATGCTGATATTACAGTTGGCAAAGCCCTATACAACACCACTGCGACAACTCACTGTAGTAGAAGTCTTCTTTGGCCCATGGACTGCATAGTGAATTGTTCCCAGACTGTGTCTTTAGCTTCCCAGTTTTAAGGAAAGCATTATTTAAACTACTTTTTTCTTCCCCTTGAGAAAAAGGTAAATCACGAAAGGACTTGACAAATTATTTAGCTAGATTATTGGTGAAAAATGAGAAATTTTCCTAGGTGCCCTTTAAAATACTTTGTGGAAAATGCAAAATCAGCTGAAATACATTTTGCAATTACCTTCAAGCTGACAGTGCTTTCTGATGTACGAATCATTCTCTGGCCCCCTGGAACCCTGCCAAAGTGTGCCATTCACATTTTTCCTGTCTAAAATAAAAGCACAGAGAGCAGTCACCTGAATTCATAGCATACCTGTGAAATAACAGGAAAGTCTATAAAAGTAGCATCAAAATGCAAATCAAACAGGCCAATAGAACACTGTAGCATCTTCTCAAATACAGAAATGAATAGATGATTTTGCCATATAGGAAATCTGATGGATGGATGGGATTTATTGTGGGCAGACTTCGACTTCTGTCATCTTTCTCTGCCATCTAATACCTCATTTAACACTGTTAAAACACGCTCAGAATGATTGTTATCTTATCCCTGGTTTCAAGACATAGAGCTCACAGAACATCAGTGCCTTTATTTTGCTTCTAGGAATTATATAATTAGCATTTAATTTTACAACACAGCTAGTCAGCTAGTGTGTTAGCATGAGTAAGACACAGTATTAAAGATCCCCAGATCAATATCACACACACTCCATGGCTGATACTGTCTCAGCATGAACAGGAGAACCTAGGTAATCTTTGAGAATAAGATAACCTTTCTGCTCTTCCCTCTGTGAACTTCAAAGTAGTCATGCTTCGCAGCATATTGATAACTATAAAGTTCCTATGCTTTTTTTTTTAATTGTTCAGTCTTACTCTAACAATGTCAGAAATTTTTTTTAATGACGGCACTTGTTGACTCTGTCAAGTGCTGGGAATTCACTACAGACTGGGTGCTATAGTCCGATGATACTGTTTTGCATGTAAGTTCTTCCCAGTGCAGAGCTGCAGAATTAAGTCTTAACTTAAGAAAACTTTCAGATATCTGAGACACTTCATTATGGTACATATCTGCATAGATGCAGGCAGATATAATAACCCCTTTACTCAGTAAGAACTAGATACAACTGAAACAACCCCTCCAAAGAATAAACAATAGAATGTTAAAACAAAAGTCTCACTGAAAAAAAATAGTATTTTTAAAATTTTAAGAAATTGATGATCATTTTCTACAAAGGGTTTACAAAATAGAGCCCACTTAATATCGCAAATGTCGAAGATAATATATTGTGTTAGGATGGGGTGATAAAAACCCTGAAGTTCTTCCTCTGCAAAGTTGGTTGCAAAAGCTGAAGCAAACCAGTTTAACACAGGAAATGGCAGGGGACTTGATTTGATTAGGTCAGAGGGATTTCAATTTTTTATTGTAATGATTAAAAGAAATTCTAGACAGTCTGAATATCTCTCTCCTTTTGTCTTATAATAGGCTCATTAAACCTCAGTTTGGTTTCTAGATTTAACTAGATTGGTTTATATCTAACAACAAATATATGTGTAGGATGGGGGGGATATACGGTAGCTTAACTGTAGAGCTAGGGACTAATATTTTCCATTTTCTTTGCATTTGCTCCAACAGCTCTAAAGTAAATCAGATCCTTAATTAAAGTTGACTCTGAGATTAGCAAGTACATAGTAAATGATTTAAACAGTAACTAACCAAATGCTTCATTTTCAGACATGGACTTCTGGACGGATCTAAAAGAAATTAAAAGAATTTACCATTAGCTGAAAGTCAGAATGAAAAAGGAAAGTGCATTTAATCAAATACTTTCAACCTAATTCTTCAAAGCAGGGCACAGAGATTTAGCTGTGCAATTCTCACTGGCTTTAACTGGAGTTACTTGGGTTTTCTTATTCACCAAATCACCCACTCCCACATGTCATACAAAGCTCTGAAAGCTTCTGTTTTCATTCTATACAACTAGTTATTCAAGTTTCTTTTTGGAACAAAGAATTCATGAGCACAGAGGGGAGCCCATCAGAAAGAACAAGAAGTGACACCTTTTTTCAGATGTGATCTGTAGTGTCCTACAACTGTTATAAATTTGTCTGAAATTTGGTGACGAAATAATGAATTAAAATAAAGAGGTACAGATGAACACACAATCTCCGCAACCTAGAGGTACATTTTATTGCTCAAATACACCTTGAGCTCTTTGCATGTTAACACAGAGAAACAGCGTTAACTCATGCTTCCATCTGTGGTCAAAGGCTTATAAATCATGAGTTCAAAAGTACACTAAGTTAAACTTCAGAAGAAAAAAAAAAATCTCTGAATGAACAACGACTTAGCCTGTGAATTAATTTGTTTCCTTTTATCCATAAAAAACACAAATTGTAGTAGTAATTTATGAGTTACAGGATGTGGCCAGAAGATTATACTAGATGAGACCAGAGACTCCATAGTCTGTGACAATGATCAGCAGAAGGGAAAGATTTTTTTTCTCTCTCAGCTTCAGTCAATTAGGTGCTGGAGGATTTCCTCGGCTGGAGGCTACCAGTGAACCATTATTTCTAATGGAACCGGTTCCATTAAAACTAGCTCCTTTTTGAAAATACTGTTATTTTTTGGCTTCCAGAGCAATCAGTTTCACAATTTAATTTTTACTGTCAAAAAAAGAAATACTTCTGTTTATTTTATTTCTGTTACGCTATTTCATTGGGTACTTCCTTGTTGCTCTGTTGTAAGAAAAAGAGAACGATTGTTCCCTATTCACTTTCTCCATATCTATGGAAAAGGCCAATAAAGTGATTATAATTTCAATATCATCAATGGAGATAGCATGTCAGGGTAGCAATGGCAGGGAATTCACTATGAAATAATATTAATTATAAAATCTTTTCAAGTTGAATGAAATTATTTTCCTCCAACTTTATTCAGTCTTTATAGTTACTAGCCAAATGATCTAGATGACTTTTCTAAATTCTGGTTAGTAACTTGGAATTTTCACAGTTTTATTTGCATTGTAAGGTTTGACATTGGAGCTATAGATTACTATTTCTACCCCTAGGGCAGACTCAGCTCTGATCTAAACAGAACACCCTTAGAGACAGGGTCTGCATCCAGATGATTGCATCATATTTGGTAGAGCTATTTCAAATGAAGCCCTTGGGTAAACCCATGCCAGCCTACGCAATGGTTTGGATTCCTAAAAAGTATTAAAAAATGATGAGAAAAGCCAGAATAATACAGTGACTCTGGCTAGTGAAAAACAACTAAGATCTCACGCTCTGAGTGCATAGACCTCTGTGTTTCCAGTTGATAAATTACTAGTGTTTTTATCATTTGATCAGAAATAGATTAAAACTGTTTATTAAGACAAAGGGGCTCTTGATTTTCTTTGAACTCATTGTTATCTGTTCTGAAATTTCTCAGCAATAGACACTGATCACATTGACGTTTTGAATTCAGTGGGGCCCACCCAAAAATGAAAAAGATAATATGATTCCCAGAGATTTTCATGTCTGGCACAGCCAGCCAGACAGTATCTCTGTCTGTCGTTCCATTAGGCAGGATCTCATTTGAAGGGGACAACTTCTGTAATGCAATAATCTCCAATCTCCAGCCAAAAAAAATTTTCAGAATAATTTCTTCTACTTACTAATATATATTGAGCATTAGCCCAAACCATACTGCTGTCACAAATATACTTGAACAAATACAGTCTGTCCTGCTTAACCTGAATCATTTTGCAAACTGATTTTTATTTGGATTAAAAACACAAACAAAAAACTCTTCAGAAGATTACCAATGTTTGTGTCAATGGCACAAACATGCTATAAAATAGGTTATCACTTCAATCTTTCAGAAAAGTGGACATATGGTTAAACCTAGCTCAGATTAACTGCATTTGATTTTAGCTGTCCTGGTTCCATTATTTTTGAAGAAAGCTTTATGCATATGAAAAATAATGGCAAAAGAGCTTTAGCAATGCATTACAAGCTTGTTACTTGCTTTCCAACTGCAACGTTAATACACCTACTCTGAGAGAATTAATACAACATTGGCAAACACATTAATAAAACAACAAGGGTGAAAGGTACAGACAAACATAGGGACACTGTGTAGACCTTGGACTGGTCTCAACTTACTTTCTTTTTTTGGTCATAGTGTTCTCAAAGTCAGGAAATTCCTTTTGGAAAGATAGAGAAAAAAAGTTTATGAGAATCAAAAATGTTTAATCCAACTATAATATTCTCCCATTGGAAAGACATGGAAAGATGCTTCCATATACTTTTGGTCTGTGTAACACCACTAACATTTCCATTTTTTTCCAACAGCTGAAGCTGTGGGGGGAAACAGTGCAGCAGAGAATATATGTAGTTAGGTATCCTGATTTTAAAAGGTTTCAATATCAATGGTTTCCAAGAGTTTGACACTGACATCTGTAACACCCCTGAAAAATCAGAGCACAATATCCTCACCAAAAACTAATATCATATTACTTCTGTAATATGATTCTTTAAAATATTGCCTCTGAAATACAAAATGTTATGAAGATAAAATACCCACAAGTTACGATGGAATGTGGCTTTATACAGGACACGGAAGGATGCAAAGTTTATAACCCCATGCAGAGGAAGTCTACATGGGGAAGAGAACAGGAAACTGCAGGTAAAACTGAAAGCTGTTTAAGTCAGGCTGACAAAGCTCTGAGAGGCAAAATCAAGCACTGGGTTGGAGGCAAGATCACAACCTCTGGGTCCCAAACTATACTGCCGGATTATATGTCTACACTCGCCTGTGCACTGCAGTTGGACTGTGCTTGCTTAATCCTTCTTTCACCACCTGCTTCCTGTGTGTTCTCCATACCACTGGGAAATCCCTTGGACCCAGTTATCTGGATCATGAAGTACCTTCTTGTTCTTTTTCAGATGTTAAGCATTATGGGCTGAAGAGCACAGAGTTTGGGACCTTCTTTGAATGAAGTCCATAGAGAGAGGAAAGAGGTGCCAAGATGTAGGAAGGAAGAAAGGGGTTAAGCATGTGTTGAAAGACTGAACAAAAGGGTGCCTCATTCTGCTGTTGGTCCCGCAACATCTCATGGCATCTTTGCTGTCACAGTCACCTTGGGGCTTGAAGTTAATTTTAACTTTAAGAAAAGCTGAGGACGTCAAGCTAGGACAGAAGAGAGCTCTGGTCCCAACACTATTTTGATACCTTCTTAGACAGAATGTCAAAGCACTGTATATCACTTTCGTCATCTATTGCTTCCAGCCTTGGAAGCAGAAACTGGGGTAAAAATGTCCACGACGAATGCCTTTTTAGTTTGGTGTTCAACAAGACAGAGTTAAAAAAATTGTAACTATTCATTATTTTGTAAATATGAAAACTTCAGTGTATAGACCTATTTCTCATATTCTTAATTTATTTTCCTCATGTAATATCATCTACGTCTATGTGGTTCTGACCACAGTAAGTTAAAAATATCATCCAGGTTGCATGATGAAAAGCCAAAACATGTAATATATAAAACAATGTAAGTACATAATTGAGCATTTTTTTCCCTCTCTCAGTAAAACCCATCACAGGTTTTTGGGTTTTTTTAAGCTTCTTCAGAAGAGTGCATTAGAAGGGCTGTTTTACTATACTGAGATTATTTTGCTTGAAGATAGGAGGTCCTGCTAGCACTGGACATTTGTGAGTGCTAATAATTGTATGTAGTTGCCATAGAATTTTTTTGCATGTATAGATTTGTTCACAGATGCACTGTACAGATAAAAAGAGTAAATAGTATTTACACTTTGCTTTGAAATTCTGCAAGCTATTTAAGATTAATTTCTTCTTGATAAGAAGCCCAGTGTTTTAGTCTTGGGACAAATCTTTTCAATATCTCTAAAGAAATGGCTAGATGAGGCATTTGAGGTTAAAATCTCAACACACACAAATCCACATCACTAAAAATAGATTTCAATAATATAATTTCAGGTAGGATAGTAACAGAATTTAGTCCATAAAGAAAATTATTTTTGTAACATTTCAAACTTGTCTCATCATATTTTCCATCAGGAAACCGCATTGCATGAGAACCTAGAAAGTTGTTGATGTTAATTGCAAGGCTTTTATGGAATGGTTTCTGATAAAAGCTTCAGAAACAAGTCTTGGAAGGATCTGAGTTTCCTTTCATCAGTTTCCAGAGTGCACACAGAGAAGTTGAAAAATGTTCAAAAAGTGATTTTAAGGCTCTTCAGGAAAGGCAGTGTCAACACCTCATTTGAAGAATATCAACATTTTGATTTCAGAAAGGGTCATTAAAACAAATGTTGTGCCAAGAGGTCAAACACCAAGGAATATTACAAGTCAGAAGTTGTATATGATCCAGGGTAAAATTTGAGACATGATCCTCTCTGAATCTCAGTGTGGTCATATATCTGGAAAGACTATTAATTCACAACTTTGCATGCCAAACACCTGGTGTGGGACATGAAACATGAAATTGTAGGTTTAACTTTTTGTTCCATGTTTTGAGACCAATGCCTCAGCGCTAGTTTCTTGAAATCTACCAAAAGATGCATGTATGTCATTATGTGATATTGAGGTGAGCTCACTACATATCATGAGATACAGTGTCATAGTGAAATATGACAGTGGATTTAAATAGCCTTTTAAAAATGGCATCTTTTATTCAACACACCTGTTCCTGCCATAACTGCATCAGTTGGCTAACTTGGAGTACGA